GAAGAAGTGTAAGCTCTGCTCTCCAGACCCGAAAGCAACCTCGGGGTTTTGCAGAAAAGGGGAACCAAGGCACAGGTCAGGGCTTTCGTGTGGTCGGCAGGGTGGGTGGCCCTGGTCAAGCAGGTCTGGGTGGCCCCTCATCTCAGGACTGGTTCCCTTCCTGGGTAATGTCCCCCATTGAAGGCCGGGGTGACCTCAGCAGGGTCTGCAAGGCTCTGCGTTTCCTGGGGCCACAGGCTTAGCACCAAGGCTGGAGACGAGAGCCAGATGCTTTAAGAACTGGCAACCGAACATCCCCAAAACTTGCCTTGGTGTCCTCAGTGTCAAAGCAGGATGAGCTAGGATCAGTCCTAGAGCTTTGGCAGATGGGGAGGGGACCAAGAAAGGGACGGGAAAAAGAAGCAAGATGTCTTCCGCCCGTGGACAAACTCCCCGGGATGAGTGCAACCATCAGCACTGCAAACGCCTATTAATGTAAACAACAGTTTAAGGCTAACGAGCTTATTGCACAGGACCCTGTGTGGGGACAGAGCTGCCCCAGAGTTTGGGGTGATGCAGTGTGCAGGCGGAGAGGACAAGCGCCATCCTGGGCACCGCAGCCCGGCCTGTGTGTCACCCTCGAGTCCCCCCACTGAGGGTTACGTCAATTGTGAAAGCCACAGGGATTTCATTACAGAGCTTCAGAGGGGGAACAAAGCGAAATACGTGAAAAATGAAACCGTCCTGACACAAAACCATGAGAGCAAGGAAGAGTCTCTCAGAATGGGCCCACGCTTAGGCGAGTGACCGCAGGGAGTGCTGTGGGCAGCGGCCGTGGCCCTCTGCGTGACCAGCCCGGCCTTCCTTTCCCTCACCAGGTCCCCGTGTCTGCGGCCCCGGGGGGGCGGGGGGAAAGGTCACAGTGCCCCCAGGTGTGTGCCCGGAAGACCAGAGTGAGCAGGAGCTGTGTTCTGATGGCCCCTAGCTCAAGCACTCCTTTGTTTCGTCTTGGGGTATTTTTTCAGTTTGGTTTGAGTTCTCCTCCCCCTCCTCCCCCTCCTCCTCCTCCCCTCCTCCTCCTCCCCCCCCTCCTCCTCTCCCTCCTCCTCCCCCTCCTCCTCCTTTCCCTCCTCCTCCTCCTCCTCTTCTCCTTCCTCCTCCTCCTCCTCCTCCTCTTCTCCTTCCTCCTCCTCCTCCTCCTTCTTTTACCCCTAGGGACTGAATCCAGGGACTAACATCAAACTACATCCCTGGTCCTTTTTTTTTTTTTTTTGAGGTAGGGTCTCCCTAAGTCATTAAGTTTCCTATTTACAGAAACAGAAAGCTAGTCACAAGCTCAGGCTCTATGTGCAATTTTATCTTTTCTACCAACCACATGAAAAAAGTAAAAATAACTAGATAAAATTAAACTTTCAATTATATATTTCTTTAACCCAATAGGTCCTCCATCCATCAGCAGATCCAATTGCCCTCAAGTAAAAAGCACTGGGGAAAACAGGTGCACCTGCAAACACTTTAGAGACGTCTTTTCTTTCACTATTCCCTAAATAGCATTATCTAATCATATATATATATATAGTATTGTGTGTATACAGTATAACAATATTGCTATATTATATTATGTGTATACAATATAACAATATTGCTATTTTATATATTATATTGTATTATATTATGTGTAGACAGTATAACAATATTGCTACATTATATTACATAGCTTTGCATGTCGAAATATTGCTGGTGATCTTGAGATGGTAAAGGCAAGGAAGAATTGTGTTGTAGGTTGCTACTTTACTTAAAGAACTTTTGCATAAAGGATTTGAGGGTCCTTGGCAGGTTTCTGGAGCCAAGCTCACAGATACAGAGGGGTAGCCATATATGCAAATATTTTTATTTCAATATGTAGTCAACATTTTAAGCGCTAATGAAGATCTGTTGTCAGCCTGTAACATCTCTGAGATCCAGAGCATATTAAGCGCACAGCACCCCGCAGCGCAGCCTGGCCCCGTTTCTACTGCGGTGCGGTGCACGGCTTCCCCAAGAGGGAGAGCACAGCTCCGAGGCTTACGCTTCCCACAGGAACCCAGCCACAGGCTCGGGAAGGCTCCTGCAGGTCCACCTGGACTGCCACGGTCAGCAGCGCTTGGAGGGAGACGGTGGATGCAAAGCCTCGCTGTAAATAAAACAGGAGGTGGCCCGGGGTGGCCACGGAGCTCCAGGAAGCGCAGGGTCCCCTTTTCCTCCGGTAAGGATTGCTCCTCTCCACCCCAGGTGGCCGAACTGTCACAAGGCCCAGGACAAGCCAGCCACCAGCGTGGCCTCTCCCCACAGTGTCTCGTAGGCAGCCGGGATTCCCAGATCAACTCTTTCCCCAACAGCCGCCGCCTCCCAGCGCCATCACCGCCCTGCACCCAGGCTGTGAGGCGCAGTCCCCTGCTCCGGCCTCTGTCGCTTCCTCCGGACTGTACGTCCGCAGCATCATGACCTCCCCTCAGGACAGTGTCTCCTTCTGAACAAGGCTCTGACCGCTCTCTATCTCTGCACCGCAGCTCCAGGGAGCCACCGCCACCCAGCCCGGCTGCCACTCGCGCGTCTCTGGTGACAGCCTCCCTTCCCTCTGCTCCCTGACGATCTGTCGCGCACACAAAACCAGATGAGTCTTCTTTGAAATACAAGTCTTCATTAGCAACAGTAAAAACAAGTCTTAACAGCACGGGGGTAATGTAAAATATAAATCACCCAGGAATCCATGTAAAAAAAAAAAATGAGGCACCAGTTTAATGAAAGAAATTGTAAAATTTTACTAAAGTACTTTAAAGAAAACTTAAGTGAGGAAACAAACCGTATTCATGTATCGGAAGACTTTACTTTTTTGTGGAACTGGGGACTGAGCCCAGGGCACGCACGCCGAGCTACATCCACAGCCTTTTTTTATTCAGTTTAAGATGCAGTGGCACTGAGTTATCTGGGATAGACTTAAACTTGGGATTCAGAGTGCTGCGATTCTAAGTATGCACCACTGTGCCGTTAAAAAGCTCATTTTCATAAAGATATTAGTTCTCCCCAAGTTGTATTCAGAACCAACATGAACATGTCTGTTGAATTTGGTTCTAAGCTTCAAAGAAGAAAATTAATAAAAGTAGCCAAGAAACAACAGCAGGAGAGGAGCCAGGGAGTCAGCTCAGCGGCACAAGCTCCTGCCTGGCAAGCACAAGGGCCTGAGTTCTTTCCCCGTACGAGGAAAAAAAGAATGGTAGAAGAAGAAAAAACAGTGGGGAAGTCTTCCTAGATGTCAAAATTATTTATAAACTTAAAATAAGCAATATTATTTAACATTGGCAAACTGTAAACAGCCCGGAAAGGGACTCACATCCACATGATGACTTGTGTAATTCAGCAGCTAAAAATGTCTTTTTTCACAAATGGAGCGCTCTTGGCTATCCACATGAGGAATGCAAAATCTTAGGAAGTGTACATCATCCCTACCTCGCCCCATGCAGAAAGGCCATTTCCAGGCGGACATGAGACTGAAAGGCACAAGATAAAGTTCTTCCATTTGTGAAAATAATTTTATGACCTCAGAGTATGGAGCATACTTCACAGCTTATAAGAGCTCCCGTAAAGGAACCGGTAGACAAGTCAAACTTGTTGGAAATTAATCAGCTCAGTCACTGACAGAAATCACAACGCAAGGAAATTAGGCACAAACTAGAGAAAAATAACCATGACCAAAATACTAACGCCACCAGTATAGCAAATCAACAGGATAGAACATGATAAACCCACAGAGAAAAGGCCGCCACCTACTCAACAGCGCCCAGCAGTGGCCGAGGTGCGAAGCGGGCCACAGGGCTGCTGACCGGGGTACCCGGGGTACCAGGCCTTGCCCGCCTGCCAGCTCTGCGAGGTTGCGGTCAGCCCCTGGCTACTGCACCTAACCTAGAGATGCCTTGAGGTAACAGGAGATGTGTGTGGCTCTGTGCAAATGCCCCTCCACTTGGTGTAAGAGATTATTCTGTGCGGGGTCCAGGACAATCCCCCAGGTGCAGTCACCTTGGGGAACAGCACAGCATCACCTGCTGAGGCTGAAGGTCAGCTTCCCTCCCGACCCCGAGCCCATCGCCAGGAGAAAGCCTTGCACACGTCCCTGGACACACTCACAGGAAGAGCCCGCGCTGCACCCTGAGAATTGGAGTTAAACCCTAGCGACACCGAAGGGCCCCTCAGCAAGGTCTCGGAGAGGCACACGGAGGATAGTTACCACGAGCACATTACAGGCCTGTCCAGCAGCGCAGAGGGACCTCAGGACACCACCGGAGCCGATTGAACAAGTTCGAAAGAACATAATTCCGTGTTTATAAAGTTCAAAAATGCACCAAACTAGATCACATTTATTCGAGCATTTGCACACATGGAGTAAAACCAGGGAAGAAAAGCACAGAAACAATAAATCCAGATGGGGGAGGCGCTCGTGTGTTGGGGGCGGATTCCCCGAAGGCATTAGGATGAGGAGGGTCGTCGGGGACGAGGAAGCCAGGGGCTGGCTGGGTCTGAACACTTCTGCACAACCCAATTTTTCTGGCTTGCCTTTTCCAGCTACTCGACCTAGGAAATCTCCTAGCTGGCCTCCAAGGCCTGGCTGACCCGGCTGAGGATGCGGCCCAGAGGAGCAGGAGGGACCCCAGCTCCGCGCTCCCCAGAGGCCCAGAGGCCCGGGGGCGAGAGTCACCCTCTGCGGCTGCTGCAGGGACACACTGCCCCAGAGAGGACTCGGCCTGTGGTGGGAGATGAGGACCAGAGGGGGACCCCGGGGTGGCTCAGAGGACCCCAGAGTCACAGCCGCAGTGCACACGGGAGCCGAGGGGCCCTGATCCCTCCCAGCAGCTCCTCCCACACCCAGGGCCGACCGCAGCCCGGCCACTGGAGGGCACTCGGGCCGGGCTGGCTTCCAGGTCACTCGGGCAGTGGCCGAGGCCCAACCCAACACCCTGCAAGCGGCCGGTGGGACCGAGGTGGCCTACCTGGGGCGCGTCAGGGCCTGCGGGCTTCCACCAGCGTGGGTGCCTCCATCCCGGGCAGCCCTTGGGGCTTGAGAAGGGCCGGCTGCCCGGCAGCCTCGTTTCACTATGAGGCGAAGGGCCTCTGCTCGCTTCCTGGGGAAAGCAGAAGTGGAACTCAGGGCTGCCGGCCACACACACACACACACACACACACACACACACACACACACGCACGCTGGCACAGGCGCAAGAGCACACACACGCATGCGTGCATGCACACACACCATCCAGGGGTGGCTCTTGAGTTCTCCAGCCGGCGTGGCCTCTGCACACAGGGTCCTGAGCTGAGCTGTCCACAGCTGAGGACCGAGAAGCAATGCCCAGCTCTGCAGCAAAGGACTAAATCCCGCGTCCCTGCGACCACCAGCACCTGCAGACCTTGCCAAGCCCCAGACGACTGCAGACAGCCGAGGCGAGCAACTGGAAGACTGGAAGCAGGGACAGGGCCCGGCTGTCGGCTCCCACCCACCAGGCACAGAGAGCCCGGCCTTCCTGGCCTCTTTATCCCCAGATCCCCACTGGAGCCTCTGAGGTAGATGACCAGCTGTGGGGCAATACAACTAAGTGACCGTAATAATGACAGGAAAATGTGAATCACAGACCTGAGTTCTCTGTGACAACTCACAAGAGCAAAACCAGATACAGCATCTAGGAACAGGTGAAGGAAATGTGGCCTGTCTATGCCGTGGAATATTAGTCAGCCGTGAAAAAGAATTGGCTCCTACCATTTTCAGGAAAACAGAAGGAACTGGAGCTCAGAAAGACAAGCGTGCACACTTTCTTTCACACACAGGACCTAAAGGAGAGAAATGGTGTGAAAGTAGAAGGGGACTATTAGAAAAGAGGAAAAGGAGGGAGAAGGAGAGGAGGTCATGGGGAGACACAATCCAAGTACGCTTTATGTGTGTACAGACATGCCAAAATGAGGTCTGTATCGATCATATGCACCAATAGAACAAAAAAATCCACTTCTCCGAGATGCATGTCTGATGCTCGCGCCTGTGATTATGTCCTGAGAATCATGCCGTACTGTGCCTGCAGGGCCAGCAGGCGAGCGCCATCCCCTGCTCCCCGAAGCAGCCCAGCTCCTCGGAGTCACAGCAAGTGACAGACCACAGTGACATCTCCTGCCCTCCCAGGTCACAAGCACACGGACAGCACTGGCTGTGGAGCTTTATCTCGGCCACAGAGACGACAGCCGGAGGAAGAGATGTGCCCGGCTATGACCTGGGGCTCCAGACTGGGGTCCCTACACCCCAGCATCTATCCTCCCACCACCCACAGCAGAGAGCAGACAGACACCGGGAGGGCGAGGACGCTGCAGACCATCCTGCGAGAAGCCACGGGTGCCCACCAAGGCGCTGGGTGTCACCATGCCAACCAGAGTGGGTTGCACTTTCTTTTAAGGCAGCAAATTGCAATCCACTGTGAGAGCATCTCCAAGTCCCCCTCAGAGTGTCACCGGAGGCTCAGGCTCCTCTACTCAGCCTTAAAAGCCTCTCTCCCGTCCACGGAGACCTCAGTGTCCTCAGAGAGACCCTGGCCCGGAGATCCTTTCACAAGCAGCCGGCTTTTGGGTCATAACTCAAGACTTCGGTCATGAGTTAAAACTAAACCCTCGCCCCAGGTGCTCGTAAGCCAGGCCGGCCGTAACCCGAGGCCCTCAGGGACTCAAAGCAGGGAAAGCAAAATCGTGGGTAAAGGGACGGAATGCAGAGCTGATAATTTAATAATAGTAGTAAATGTTTTTCTGGCTTTTAAAACAAAGCATGCTAGTCTCATTCAGTATGCAAGAGCCCAAGAGATGAGAAATAACATCACGAACCTCCCTCTGCAGCTGCCCTGCCCCGGTGCCTGCTCGCCCACTGGACACCACGCCCTCCCCCACAGTTTCTAATATGCCCGGGGTGCTGGGCACCGCGCACCCCACTCACGTCACAGGCTTCGTGAGCAGCCCCCCACCTGCCAGCCAGGGCGGTTTCATTTTGGGGAAGTGGAGACAGGCAGCTGATCGCCGCCTAACTCCCCTTGTGCCCTTTACACTGACGTGGGAGCCCTAGAAACGAGGTCCTGCCCAGGCCAACTCTCATGGGGGTGCCTTGTGGGACCACAGTGAGGCTATTGGGGTGCAGCTGGCTTGGAAAGGGAAGAGGTACAGCTATTGGCAATGAAAAAGGTGAGGGAGAACTTTGTACAAAGACTCAAGAGAAACAAAATATTTTCCAGCAGAGGAACCACATGGAGGGCCATAAGGAAAAGGGACTGACCACCTTGGTTGGAAATCAGCTGACCGTAAATACACTGATCTGTCTCTGTGCTCTCCATCCTGGTCAGTCATCAGTGGGTCTTTGCCTAGGCTCAGCCATGCTGTTTTGACTACTACAGCTTTGTAATATATTTTAAAATTAGGTAATTCAGGGCTTCTAGTTTTGTTCTTTACCTCAAAATTCAAGGTCTTTTATGATTCTTCATGAATTTTGGTGCTTTTCCTATTCCTGTGAAGAATGATTTTGGAATTCTTATGAGGATTATATTTGCTCTTAGACACACATGTAAAAGATAAAGTTATAATGCTCCTAGAAAAAAAAAACAGGAAAATATTTATGCAAGACAAAGATCTCCTGGATACAGAGATACATATAAAAGACACGCTGATTACTCCCCTTCATCTAAATTAAAATTTTCTACTTAAAAGGAAATTTTTAAGTCATAGAATGGAAGAAAATAAAAAGCATCTACCTGCCCAAGGGAATACAGGATTCCAACACATCAATACCAAAAGCGTTAGCAACTCAACAAAAACTAGGCTAAAAATGCCCATAAACACTTCACTGCCCCCAAATAAAGGGCCATTTGAAAAAGTGCTCAACGTTGCTTTCAAACAAGTATGAATTAAAACCTCGCCTGCTGCCCCAGCATATGCATTGGAAGGGCAGAAACGAAAAAGACCTTCACCAGGGTCGCGGTAAACGTTGGCTGGAATATGGAGCCCGGAACGCTCCTGCACGGCGGGAGGAGAGACGGTGGGGAATTACGTTGGAAAAGATGACGCTGCGGCCGCTTCTTGGCCACCACTCATAGCGGGAAGCACACACTTCCCACCTACGGCAGCATTTCCCCTTCTGAGCGCTCGTCCTAGAGAAAGCAAACGACCCATCCACGTGTCCGTCCACCTGAGTATTTTTAACTGCTTCATGCATGGCAGCTAAACACAGATGCAGCTCAAATGTTGATCAGTACAGAATGGATCGTGGTAAATTCATGCAACTGTGCGATAAACAGGACACGAGTATTAATACACTCTGCAACAGGAATCAGTCACATAGCTATCAGGTGTAAGTGAAAGAAGCTGCACACGGAATTTATTCATACGAAATTGGCCAGCAAGCAGAATTAATCGGTGGTGGGGAAAGGTCGGGTGGTGGTTGCCCTGGCTAAGGGGGCACTGATTGGAAAGAGGCTGAAAAGGAAGTCCCAGAACTATGTTCTGTTGTCACGGGGGTTTGGCTTCCACTGGGGTCACAGCCAGGAGTGGAGATCAGGTCACAGCGGGGCCCCATCAGAACCAGGGACCCCCAGCCACGCCGAGCAAACCCCAGGGACGAGGGTGCGGGCTGGCAGTCACCTCATCAGCATCCTCCCAGCGGGGGCCCTGGCTCCACCTCAGCCCCTAAGGGGGCGCCTTGCAGCTGGCCCCTGGCAGACCGAGAAGGGTGCAGGGGAGACCGAGGCACAGAGGGACGCCAGCTGGTCCCCCGGGAGCAGCCCGAGGTGGTGCCCCCGTCCAATCAGCATGGCCACGACTCCATGCATGGATGGGTGAGCAGGGGGAGGTCGGGTACATCTGTGGGTGACCCTCCCTAGAGGCCAGATGGGGTGGAGGGGAGGAAGGGCCGGCCTGATGGCCGGGCACAGAGCCACTGCTCGGGCTGTTTGCCCAGCGCAGTCCCTGAGAGCCGAGGCTTCCTTCCGGTCAGAGGGGAAGCTGGCCGGGCTGGAGCAGGCCGGGAGCCTGGCGGAGGAAGGAGGGATGGTCACAGGGGCCGGACAGCGGGGAAGGCAAGGTACAGAGTCAGACCCGCGCAGTCTCCCCTGCACTGTGGCTGGTTCCTCTGCACAGGGCAGGAAACCACAGCTGTGCCCAGAGATCTGGTGGCTGTGAGCACTGAACGGAGGAAGTGGGTAGGGCAGGCGGGGTCCCTGCTCCTGGGCACACAGGAGACAAGAGGAAAGGACCCCTGGTCCCCGCCCTGCCCCGTGTCCGGGGAGGACAACAGCCATCTCCAGGCGGCAGTCACCCCCTCTCAGGGACAAGGCGATGGGTGTCAGCGCAGATTTCCTATCTGCTGTAAGTGTCCCATCTTTGGGGCGGATATCTGCCAACCAGCCTCACTCAACGATCGACACCCCCAAATGCAGGGCTCTGGCAAAGCCTCCAGCCCCACTGAGGCCCCTAGGACAGGCACCTAGGACAGGGAGGGCTGGGAAGTGTGATCTCAGCACCGCACGCACATCCACGGTGTAGACCGGACACGGCGGCTCCCGGGGTGACACGGAGCCCCTGGCTGCTAGGGGACGGGGTGGCTGCGGGCCCGGGTCACAGTAAAACGTACAGAAACTATCAGTGCTTTTTAGATGGGCGGGCGGAGCAGAGACTCTGGAAAGACAGGCGAGTCGGGCTCCTAAGTAGCCGCCTTCTTTATTTACGAAATTACCCCTGCCCGAGGCAAGCTGCGTTCAGAGTGTGAGAACCCGAAACGCTGGTTCCCTTTAGCTCACCTCCATCTGCCTCCTGCCTCAAAAGTCACAAAGGGCGACTGTGTTTGGGCCCCGAGATGACTCTGATGGCCGCAGAACGAACGGCAGGGGGGCACTTGGAGTCAGGCTCCACCTCAGGGCTCCAGACCTGAAAAACAAGATGTGATGGGCTGGTGCTCTCCTTCCTGATTTGTGCTCACATGTTCATGTAATTTGGAGCGTGTTCATCACACTTGCTGTGTCTTCCCAGGAACGGGGCCCCGGCTCTAAACCCTTCCATGAGGTCTGCATGTAGCGCGTTAAGAGGTCATCACCGCTCCGAAAACTGCCCTTCCTTCCCCGCTCACCCCCTGATCT